TGAACGTTTAACAAAATCTCATTTAAAATGAAATTTCTAATGATCGTTATACTTCGTATAAAACATTTCAATGTTCGTTAGAAAAATTTCAATGATCGTAGGGAAAAATTTCATATGATCACGATATAAAAAATTTGCGAAAAATTGATAATGTTATATGCATATACATGTATATATATATATATATATATATATATATCAGATCCTCCATGAAAAAATCGGTACGTAAAAAGGCGCCATCGCCGCCAATAAATCCTGGAATATTACGTGAAGTTAGCGAGGAACGGGAGGATCATGGTCCACCTGTGCAAAAACCACCCGCAAAGAAATACTCCTCGGAGGAAAGTTCCGAGGAGGAGGATATACGTGAATTGGAGGGTAACGTTTATACGAAGAGCGGAATGGAGGTGAGATTGAATCTTCGATGATATCGGTTGTCTCCAATTTTTTTTTTTTTTTTTTCTATTATTTTTTATTATATATAATACCTTGGAGATTTCGATTCCAATCAAATGAAAAAAAAAAGAAAAAAGAAATTGGAAAAGAAAAAGGAAAGAAAAGAATGGAATCTTTTTAATTGGACTCGACGACTCGTTTTCTTTTTTCTTTTTTTTCTTTTTCTTTTTCTTTTTTTTTTTTTTTCTTTTTTTTTTTCTTTTTCGTTTTTATTTCCCCAGATAATAATGCGATTCTCATCTATCCTTTCAGATATCCAGAAAGAGTGCTGGCAATGTAAAAAGATCGAAGGCCGAGATCGATGCTGATCCAGAAGAAGAGGATGAATTTGGTTACACAAGTAGTGAGTACTTTTATTTTTTCGTCGGTTGTTCCTTTTTATTTCTTTTTCTTTTTCGCCCATTTTCTTTCTTTCAAAATATTAATGTATTATTGTAAAAAAGTGTAAAAAGTTATTGAACAGTTTCAATTTCGGAGGACAATTTTTCTTTTTTTTTTTTTTTTTAATTGTACACGCAAATTATTTTCATCCTGGTTTTTTGTATGGGAACAAATTTTGTTTTCTTTTTTTTTTGGATGGCGGGAGGAGGGGAGAGAAATCTGATTCATATTTCGATTCAACTTTTAACTGTAAATTGAGAAATATATTTGTTATGTACGAAAACATAAGAGACTATATATATATATATATAGGCATTCAGAATCGTAATATATCAATACAAAAAATAGAATTGAACATTTGAAAACTTTTTATCTTTGGTATAAACCTTTTATCCTTCCTTCCACTTTTTATTATCATCGTAAAAAAATCTTTCGTTAAATTTCCATTCAATTTCTAATCACGATGATATATATATATATATGTTACATAAAATACGTATATAATTTGTTACGTAAAATATGTATATAAAATTATATACATATTTATATTTTATCATTATCATCATCATTATCATCATCATCATCATTATGATTATATCGTGTCAAATTCCAAAACGAACCTCTTCCGTTCTTTTTCTCTCTTTTTTTTATTTTTTTTTTTTTTTCAACATTCAAACCTCCTCCATTTTTATATATTTATCATCTTATCTTTCATTATTTCCGCCCATTGTGTTTTTTTTCCTCTTTTCTCTTTTTTTTCTTTTAGTGAAGATACAAAAGAAATATCACAATCTGGGTCACAAGGTACTAATGGTGAAGGTAGAAAAAGAACGTGGTAGTTTGGGTATATCTCTTGCCGGTCACAAGGACAGAAATCGAATGGCTGTCTTCATTTGTGGCATCAATCCGAATGGTTCTGCTCATAAAGTTGGTGGACTTGCCGTTGGCGACGAAATACTCGAAGTAAGAAGTTTCACGATATTTTTTTTTTTTTTTACGATCTCTCTTTACTTTTATAACTTTTATTCGTCAATCGTGAAGGATCAAATCGTTGAAAGCTGAGAAAGTGGAGAAGATAGAATGGGAAGAGTGGGAGAAGGTTTTTAGACGACGTTTATTACGTACCTGATCTCATTTGCCGAAAATAAGTCGACATTTTTACGACATACATACATACATACATACATATATATATATGTGTGTGTGTGTGTTTGTATATATATATATGCTGGCACAAATATCAATCAAATATTATTTTATTTCTATCATTGGTTTATAACACGAAGAAATATTAAATTTTTTTTTTGCTCCTTTTTATATATTTCTTTTTACAATCTTAGGTGAATGGTATGGTGTTAAAAGGAAGATGTCACTTGAACGCTTCGGCATTGATAAAGTGTATGGCCGGTTCATTCTTCAAGATCATAGTACTTCGGTAAGTAATATATATATATATATATACGTCTTTATACGTCTTATTTAATCCTCTTATTGTAAATGATAAAAATTGTATCTCTTTATTAAATGTTCTTTTATTAATTTACGATAGAAAAACGCATGGGACGGATGATATAGCTGTAAAACCATTGGTCCAATTCCCACCTATCTTAGACGAGGTATACGAGTAATCTTTAATCTTTTACAAACCATATATGTGTATATATATATATATATATATATATATATATATATAATATATCGATCGATATAAAATACTACATTATATATGTATACATACATACATACATACATACATGTATATATATATATATATAATTACGAGAAAAACGCAGAGATCTTTCTTTTATAGAGCGAACAATTTAGCGGATACAAAGGAGTCCGTGTTGTCCCAGTAAAAAAGGTTAGATTCGATAGAAATATTTCTTTTATTTTATTTTAAAGGATTCAACCTCCTTCCTCCCAATCCTTTTTTCTCCTCCATCTTTATTTTCTTAACAAATAATTTTTTTTTTTTTTTTATTTTATTCTCTCAGGGACAATACGGTCTTGGTATAATGATCATCGAGGGTAAGCACGCTGAGGTTGGTCAAGGAATATTCGTTTCGGATATACAGGAAGGTAGTGCTGCTGAACAGGTAAAGGAAAAAGAAAAGAAAATATTATTTTATTATTTTTATGATAATATAATACAATGGAAGGATATTAATTGTAATATTTCTAAAAAAAAAAAAAAAAAAAAAAAAAAAACAATTATATAGGCAGGTTTGCAAGTCGGTGATTTGATTCTAGCCGTTAACATAGATTGTCTTCTCGGCTCGACTTACGATGAGGTAAATTACGTTTGTTCTTTCGTTTGTTCGTTTGTTCGTTCGTTCGTTCGTTCGTTCGTTCGTTCGTTCGTTCGTTCGTTCAATCGTTCCTTCCTTTAGAATTTTATTTCCTCTCATATCCCTCCCGCACCCTTTATATACATAACTTAGATTCTAAGAATAATTTTAGATCGGATCGATTCCATTTATCGAACGTAACCGCGTGAATAATTTTAGGCTACGAGTCTCTTGAAGAAGGCCGAGGGCGTCGTTAAGTTGACCGTTTGTAATCCAAATCAAAGTAAAATTGGTCAAGATGGTAAAGAGATAAAGCCCCCTGAGCCCGAAGTTAAACCAGGCAAACCAGGTGAAGAAATTGTCACAAATGTTTTTTCTTCTTTTTTTTTCATTTTTTTTTTATTTAGTTTCTTTTTTTTTTTTTTTTTTTTTCTTTTTTTTTTTTTACAGTCAAAATTATGTAACATTTATGGATTAAATCTTAAGGGTATACAATTTTCTTCTTTGTGTTTTTTTATCTTTTCTTTTCTTTTTTATTTTTTTTTTTTTTATTTCTTCAGTGGAAAAAAAAGAACCAGAAAAACCGAAGGAACCAGAGCCACCTCAGGATCCAAAGGATTGTAAGATTCAAGTTGGAAAGGATACTACTATAGAATTTCAAAAAGAAAAGGACAAGGGAATAGGTTTCACTATAACTGGTGGTAGTGACACACCAATGGTAAGTTTGTTTAGTAAATTAATGATTATAAAGAAAGAAAAAGAAAATGAATTGAATGAATTGAATGTATGAATGAATGCATGAATGCATGAATGAATGAATGAATGAATGAATGCATGCATGCATGAATGAATGAATTACGGAATGAATGAATGAAAAGGCGAAGATATAATAATTGTTTTATTTTATCATCTAGAGCGGCGTATTTATTCTGGAAGTATTTCCTGATGGAGCAGCTGGTAAAGATGGCCGATTACAAGCTGGGGATCAAATTCTTGATATATGCCAAGAAAGTTTCAAATCTATCGAACATGAGAAAGCTCATGCTGCAGTATTGAAAATTACGGGAACAGTGAGTAGATAATTATTAAAGATAAAATAATTATTTTATTTTATATATATAGATATATATATGTATATTTATTTTCTTATTAGTAATATTAATAATAATAATTTTATATATGCCAATGATAATCGCAGTAATATTATTGTTTATATATATATATATAAAAATTATATTACATATAAAAATAATATTACTATACGACTATTATTAATTAATAAAATAATAAAAATTCAATAAAATAATTTAATATACTTGTCGTATATATATGAACGAGCAAATAAATGTTATATTATTTTCTATATATATATATGTAAAAAAGAAAAAGAAAAAAAATTATTAACATCTTTCGATTACAGATAATTATGGTGGTACATAGAAGCGATAAATCTCCGGAAGAGGTTGAGGTCGAATTACAAAAGAAATCAGGCAAAGGAGCTGGTCTCTGTTTGACCGGATTTAAAAGTGGCAAGGGTGCTTACGTTTCCGATCTGGTAATATAAAAATTAAATAAATATATCCTTAAAAGAAATTGGATCACATAATTCCTGTTATAATCTTAGTATCAGACGATTTTGTTTGATGTTCCAAAAAAAAAAAAAAGAAATAAAGAAAAAAAGAAAGAAGAAAATAAACAAAGGGAAAAAGAAAGAGAGAGAAAAAAAGATTCGATCGATATCGCGTGCTTCCATATTTTTCTTCCGGGTTGACGCATTAATCTACTTATATCATGTCGGGATTCATAAATCGATAGAAAAAGAAAGAGAGAGAGAGAGAGAGAGAGAGAGAGAGAAACATATTTGAGAACGGAAAATAACAGCGTATCGTTCACGTAATTTAAAAATAAACATTATTATTGTTAACGATCATTCGAACGCCTGAATGTATGCAACGTTTTGCATTTTATAGAAACGTAGAGACGTATAAATGGTTGCCTATTTATAGGCGGCGAGGGTGTGCGATCAATTTCTATTTTTATCGATGTACCAGATTTCATTTAAATCGTTTGTCATATTATTTTCTTTCCAGTTACCAGGTGGTAGTGCTTTGGAAAGTGGTAAAATTTGCAAAGGCGATCGAGTCGTAGCCATTTGCGGACAGGACGTACGCGAAGCACCGGTCGAGGATATCGCGGTTCACATCAAAGTTTCCAATCCGGTGCAACTCAAATTGGCTAGGTACAAGTCCGCTAAGCAATGACAGGTAAAATATTAATCTCTTATTTGTAATAATTAATAATTAAAAAAAAAATATATATATATATAAAAGTAAATAATAATTGAAAAAAGAAGCAAGTAAAAGAAAGACGAAATAAATAATAATTGATAAATATATATGTGAATAAAAAAAAAAAAAAAAAAAAAAAAAAAACAGGAAATAGTTCGAACAAATGATTGCACGACATCAAAACATTTTGATTAAAATTCAAATAAATGGATATTGTATGAAAATAAACAAAAGAATGAACTATTATTATTATTATTATTATTATAAAATAATTATTATCTTTCAGGGTTCTGCGGGCGGAACTCTAAAAATTTATCGGAAAGAAACCAAAAGGAGAATAATTCACAGACAGCGTGGATAACTAGTGTGATATAATATAACAAATATAATAATAATATATCTATTCGTAATGCTTAAGCTAATTGATCATAATGACGAATTTAACAATATTACTCGACAAGACGTATCACCACCAAATATCTATGTACGATTCCGAGCGATTTTCTTTCTTTTTCATCTTTTCAAAAGAGTGCATATATGAATTTAAAAGAATACGTGTATGCGCGTACGGAGAAGAAAGAAGAAGAAGAAGAAGAGGAAAAAAAAAAGAAAAAGAAAATGACAAACGAAAACAAGTGAAAGCAAGCAAACGAACGAATGAAACAAAAAAAAAGAAAAATAAATAAATAAATAAATAAATAAGAAAAAGATATGACACATAAACGTAGCCATTACGGAGGGAACCAAAAGTCGTCGAATCGCTTGATCGATTTAAAAAAAAAAAACGGGAAAAGGAAAAAGAGAAAAAATAAAGAACAAGAAAAAAAAAGAAACAAAAACAAAGCTAGTCGATGAAGAGAGAGAGAAAACAAAAAAGAAAAAAGGAAAAAAAGAAAAAAAAAAAGAAAACAAAATTAAAATTAAACAAACAACCAAAAGGACGTGAGCTTTTTTTTTCAAAGGGCCTCGTCGACCTTGTAAAGATTCCGTCTGCCGTGATTTTTTTAATCCGGCAAGTAGCCGATACATGATTACTATACACGTTATTACTACTATTACTACTACTATTACTATTACTATTACTATTACTACTACTACTACTACTACTACTATTATTATTATTATTATTAATTATTATTACCATTACTATATTACTATTATTAATTATGAAACAATATATATATACATATGAGAAGAAAAAAAAAAGAGTATTTATGCAATCCTAGAGACTAATATTGTAATAGCTCCGAGTACGACTCGCCTTTTAGTATTATAAATCGTAGAAGATAATTATTATAAAAAAAAAAGAGAGAGAGATAGAGAGAGAAGGAAGGAAGAAGAGAAAGAGAGAAAAACAGAGAGCGAGAATGAAAAAGAAAGAAAGAAAGGAAGAAAGAAGAAAATAAAAGAAAAGGAAAGAGATTCAGCGCCTCGATGGAACACATCCAGTACCTGCAAAAAAAAAAAAAAAAAAAAACAACAACAACAAGAAAAAAAAAGAATTACGCGAAAGGTAATCGAAGTAAAAAAACAAAAAAAAAAGAGAAAAAAAAAAAGAAAAAGGAAAAGAAATGAAAAAAAAGAAAAAAAAAATTAAAACATACAAAAACAAAAGATCGATAAAAGGAAACTCGTCGAAGGATATTAGGAATGATCTATGATCTGTGATTTATATAAGAGAAAAGAAAAGACGGGTTGATAAAAGGAAAACTAAGATCTAATATATATATATATATATATATATAATATATATGAGAATATGAAGGAATAAAGAGGTCGCTTGTATGTAATTTTAGAGAAGGAAAATAAGAATAAGAAGAGAAAAAAATGCGAAATGATAAAAGAAAATGCGAGGAAATACGCAGAATGGAAAGGATAAAATAATGATGATGAAATGAAACGAAACGAAATAAAAAAAAAAAAAAAGGAATATATAAGAAAAAAAAAAAAAGAAAAAAAAAGGTTAAGATAAAAGAGCGAGAGAAAAAGTTTTAGAGTCTAGTTACTTCGTATCAAGGATTCTAGTCTATTATTTCCAAAACGAGATCGCTATAGAGATTAAGCTACTATTACGACGATCGACACTGATTATTATTATTATTATTATTATTATTATTATTATTATTATTATTATTATTATTATTATTATTATTATCATTATTATTATTATTGTTATTATTATTATTACTACTATTGCTATTACTATTACTATTACTGTAACAATAATGATAGAAGAAGAAGAAGAAAAAAAAAAAAAAAAGAAAATAGATCATCGAGATTTTCGACGTTTTCATCAACGTGGTTTTAGATCTGTTAGATAAGAAAATTGAAGAAAGAAAGAAAGGAAAAAAGAAAGAAAGAAAGAAATGGATAGACAGAAAGATAAAAAGGGACGTCGAAAATGTCGACGTTCACAACAAACGCTGTTCTGCTTCACTGTAAGGTCAAGTCCACACCAAAGCAACCGGCGAATTTTTCTCGCAAGTGTTCAGACATATACGCAAGCGTTTCGACGCTCGACTCGAATAAAATAAATAATAATAAGAAGAAAAAGAAGAGGAAAAGAAAATGGAGGAGGAGGTGGAGGAGGAGGAGGAAATAAAAAAGAAAGAATCTAAGTAAAGGATCTACAAAAAGAAAATAAAAAAAAATAAAAAAATAAAAAAATAAAAAAATCGAACGCGCCCGTTGGAACGCTCACGTAGAGAATGAAAATTATTAGAAAAAGTCGGACACCCTGTATTATTTTCCTAGTCGTAGAGCGTAAATTATAGTTTTCTTAGATTTTCGAATGAATGAAATAAATCGAAACGAGACAAGAAGGAAAGAAGAAAAATGAAAAGAAACGAAGGTATAAGAAAAGTGTATGGGGGAAAATATAAGAAAGAGAAAGGAAACAAGAATAAATAAATAAGTAAATAAAATAAAATAAAATAAAATAAAATAAAATAAAATAAAATAAAATATAATAAAATAAAGTAAAGTAAAGTTAAAGTTAAAGTTAAAGTAAATAAAATATAATTAAATATAATTCCTTCTAAGTAATGTATTTCCATACGGATATTCGTTTCCTCCTGTAAACTCACGTCGCGAGATATCATTTTTTTCAATGAAATTTTCTCTTTAATGAAAACTAAAAAAGAAAAGAGAAGAAAAAAAAAAAGAAAAAAGGAAAAAGAAGCACGAAAAAAGAACAAAAAAAGAAAAGAAAAAGTATATATATATATATATATATAAAAGAAAGAAAGAAGGAAAGAAAGAAATAAAGAAATCGAATAAACGACGAGGGAAAAAGAAGAAAACAAGACAAAACAAAACAAAAAAATTATTTAATAATAACGATACGAAGAGATTGCGAGAAAAACGATTGAAATCAATGTCCGCGACTTTATTTTTTCCTTTCTTTTTTTCTTTCTTCGTCCTCTCGTAATCGTACTACGAGACGATTGTATTAACCCCTGAAAAAAGAAAAAGAAAAGAAAAAAAAAAACATAAAAAAAAAAAAAAAAACAAAAAAATGTAAAAGGAAAGAATGAATGAGAAGAGAAAAGAAATGAAAAGCGAAAGAAAAGAGAAGAAAAAAAATAAAAACAAAACCACCCACGCCCTCTCCCCCTGCCCGCCCGAAAATGTGCGTATTATTAATCTCTTTCGAAGTCAACAAGCGCCAATCACTTACTTTTTTTATTTTGTAAATTTCGCAAACCCTTTCTTTCTTCTTTCTTTCATCATCGACGAAGAAAGAAATAATTGTGTTAAAAGCCTTCGAAAGCCGCGTTCTTTATTATTACGTATATAGATCGCGAATATAGATTATATATATATATAATAAACGAAAACAACAACAACAATAACAATAACAATAACAACAATAACAACAACAAAGAAGAAATATATATATATATATATATACATACATAGAGATACACACGCATATATATATATATATATATATATACACATACACACAACGCGCATTATATATACATATATATTATATATATGCATATGTTATATTGAAAGTAGAAGAAACGTGCATATCGATTCGTACAACGAGGCGTCGATCGTTCGAAAACAAATCTGAAATGAAATAACAACCCAGACACTCGATCCATTATTATTTATTTATTTATTAATATTATTGTTATTATTAATATTATTATTATTATTAATAATAGTAGTACGTTAAAATGATAAATAACGTCGACGTTCATAATTGATTCTCAATTTAATGATTTCATTAAAATCTATATAGATCGAATGAAATATTATAAAACGGAGAAAGAAACGATGAACATCGATGTTATCAATTTTCCCTAATTGACTTATTAGAATATAATGATAATGATAATGATGGTGATGATTACTATTATTATTATTATTATTAATATTGTTGTAACAATATCTACGATTAACGCAAACGTTATCATCGTTATCATAGTGGACAATTGTCGAGCGTAAATGAAATGCCATAAATATATTATTATTATTATTATTATTATTATTATTATTATTATTATTATTATTATTATTATTATTATTATTATTATTATTAATGTTAGTATGTTTATAATGATAATAATAATAATAATAATAATAATTATTATTATTATTATTAATATCATTATTATTATCGTCATCATAGCAGATGGACAAAATGACCGAAGTTTATTAAATGCATTGATTGCAGTGTTGCAATACGATTTGTTTCGTTATTTCCTGTCACTCCAATATTTTCCTTAAATTTACGAAATTCTCGAATTGTTTCGTATATATAGATCTTCAGAACGGTATAATAAGAAAAGAAATTATAAAATATTTATAAAAAAAGAAAAAAAAAGAAAAAAAAAAAGAAAAAAAACAAGGAAAAAATAGTGGAAAACAAAAAGAGAAAAAAAAAAAGAAAAAGGAAATAAAATAAAACTAAATGAAAGAAAATAAGACGAAAAAAAAGAACGAATTATAATATTAATAATATAATAAAAATATAAATAATAGAACTCTAATCGATTATATTTTAATTTCTTAATCTTATAATCTTATAATTTCTTAATTTTATAATCAACTTAAGGCAACGATATCTATTCTAATTTCATAATCTTAATGTCAAATGTAGTAGAAGCACGCGCGCGACTTTTTTATTTCGTCACATTTTGTTTCGTTTTATTCATGGATACATTCACCGACTAATAAGTGGACCAAAGAAATCGTTTATCGGTTATACAAAAGTGGGTTACGAGTACGACGTTTATAAGAGGTGAAAAATTAATTGTGCGTAACTGGAGAGAGAGAGAGAGAGAGAGAGAGAGAGAGAGAGAAAGAAGGAAAAAAAAAATAAATAGAAAATAAAAGAAAGAAAAATAAATAAATAACTAAATAATAATAATAATAATAATAATAATAATAATAATGATGATGATGATGATGATAATGATAATAATAATTAGAAAATTTTACGTAGGCATTCCGACATTTTATCGTCGAATATCTCAATCTCTTTTTTTAATCTAATAATTAGAAAACATTTCATCCATGGTAGATTATATCCTAACATTTTATCGTTTAATATTTCAATTTAATATTTTCTATTATCATAAAATTCATGAAATATCTCGTAATTATAGAACGTTCTTTCATTTATTTCGTTTGTCATCATCATCTCTACGTCAGACTATTCTGTTCAATTTAATTGCTTTCCTTTTTTTTTTTTCTCTCTTTTTTTAATTTCTTTTCATGTATATATGTTAAATGATATTCCCAATTGAATTTATTATTGGAAAGAAATAATGATAGACGATGATGTATATGGCATTGTTTATAAATGATTAGATCAATTTTTTTTTTTGGTTTTTTTTTTTTTTTTTTATTTCGAGTTCGTAACACGGATGAAACGTTTCGAAGTAAGACGACGAGTAACACTTTGGAAATCGAACTTGACCCTGAAAGTTTCATTTTTCTTTTTTTTTTCTTTTTTTTTCTCCTTTCTTTTGTCAGCAAGAGAAAGAAAGAGACAAAGATAGACATAGAAAGAAAGTCAACGACGATTTGATTTCCCCTTCTTCTTCTTCTGCTTCTTCTTGTTCTTATAAAAATCTATTTGTCGTTTCAAATACAAGCCAAGATTTTCTCACGTAAAATGAAATTAAATTAACAGCTATTCGTTTGTCCAGCTGTTCGTTTGTCCAGCTGTTCGTGCGAACGTTAATACAATTTTTATTCTCGAAGAAATTTTATTTCTTTGAGAAATTTCTCGTTTTCTATTCGTACGATTGATCTTTTATATTATTTCATAAATATATATATATATATATATATATATATATATATATATGTGTGTATTTGTAAATAATATAATATTAATATATTTCTTATAGATGTCTCTTTGTATTGTATTTTATATTTTATTATTATGTTAATATTATATTATTAGAGATATGATATCACAATTAATTAATGTTATATCTAAAAATTCTAACGTTACAATTATATTATATAATATTATCTAATAATATTATGACATTATTATTATTATTATTATTATTATTATTATTATTATTATTATTATGTGTTATTATTGTATTTTATTATATACAAACAATATATTATAATTATTTAATATTATATATAAATCTAATATTATTACATAAATTTTATCTAATATTACTATTGATGATATTGTATATATATATATAATATATATATATATATATATATACATTGTACGTAATATAATATAAATATATTTATTAATAATAATAATTTCAATTTATTAAATAATACAAAAAAAAAAGAAAGAAAATGTTTCATTGAATTTATTCGTTGATGCACAGGTTTTATTCTTATTCTTATTCTTATTCTTTTGTTTTTTATCCCCCTTTTTTTTTTCTTTTATTTCTTTTTTCACTGAATTTTTCTCGAAAACAAGAACGTGCAGCGAGTCTTATTATCTTACATAAGGTGTGATAAAATTCCTGGAATCGTTGGAATATGGTCGAACATTGTTGTGGTTTCATCTTATCGCCTAACTGCAAGTGCCACTGAGAAAGTCTAGAACAAGTTTCGCATAGGTACTTGTGTATACATAACTGCTATGCTATTGCTTCTGGACTACTTAATACCATATGTACTACAGGTTCAATCGGTGTGTTTAGCTACTTTTGTGTGTGTGTGTGTGTTTGCGCGCGTGTTCACATTCCGAACTTTCTTAAGTGCAATTATGTCATAATGCACAGCCACCTTGCAGCAATCGTTCCATTCGATAGTATTATTTTAATAAAATGAAGACTTAGAGAAATATAATTATTGCATGATTTTCTTTATATGTATATATATATATATATATATATACATATATATATAAATTGATCTTACATATGAAAAAGGATCTATCGATCTTATTGTGTTTAATTCTTTTTTTTTTTCTTTTTTTTATGTATGAGAAATTACAGTATTAAAGTTTACATATATATTATTTATATATATATATATATATATATATATATATATATATATATATATATATTACATGTAATATAAAAATTATATAGGTTTCTTCATGTGAACAAATATTAAACTTTTTGTTTTACATTTAGAAATATTAAAGATATTAAGATATTTCAATTTTTCTTTTTTCTCTTTTTTTTTGTTTTTTTTTTTGTTTTTCTTTCTTTCAATGTCTAATTTCATAATATATAAAATAAATTCATGTATAATACTTAAATTCTTGGCAACATAAAGTATATTTGCCCTCCTACCATTAAATTATCTGACTTTACGCGAATACCTGTCTGGTAACTTTCTAAACTACACATTTCGTTTTTATAAATGTATAAAAAAAGAAAGAAAAAGAAAGAAAATAATAGATAACTGCGTGAAATTTTTAAAATGTATTTATTATTTTCTATAAGTCATTCGGTAATAGTAGAGCTGTGTTTTTATCTACCGAGTAATCATAGTCGGTAATTGTAGAGAACTTTTTTATCGTTTGAGAAAATATAGTCAATAATAGTAGATTACTGTTTTACCGATACGAAAAAGGAACAATTCTTTGTTTTTTTTTTTTTTTAAGTATACGTAAAAATGTAACATAAAACAATAACAATATATATTTCTTATTTTTTCTACACATTTACAAGTAACGTGTAATGGATTATTAATAGAAATCTTATAAAAAAAAGAAAAAGAAAAAAGAAAAAAGGAAAAAAAATTAAATTTCGTTATCGGATCATCGATAAAATTGCATATTTGATAAGTCATTTACAGGTATATAAATAAATAAATAAATAAATAAATAAATAAATAAATAAATACAACGCAAAAATATAACACATGATAATAATGCTGTTAACGATTTCGCGACAATTTTTATTTATTTATTTTTTTCTTTTTCAGACCTCCCTTTTGTCACTTCTTCCTACGTTCAATCCTAAAGCGATCCGAGAAAATATATGAAACTTTATGATAGAATTATCTACGACGTTTGAAAGAGGAATTTAAAAGAAAAACTAAAATATATAGAAGTTGAAACTACGAAAATTTCGTAAGAGGATCACGTAGTAAAACTAGATTTTGGTATAACGTGTGTACACAGAAATACACACAAATACAGATACACATAAAAGATAAGAATGAAGAAAGGTAGCGGCAAACAAATACAGAAAACATATGCACTGACATGACACACAGACACACACACACATTGTCAAAAGCGTTACCACTTATGAGTTACCGATACTCACCATCCCGCCACTACCCCCGCCAACTCTCAACCTCAACTACCACCCATCTATCCAACCCCCCCCCACACCATCAGAAATCTTTCCTTCCTCTGTGGTCTTTCGTATCTTGTAAGCTTCCACTTCTCGGTTGCTTCGAAAAGAGGGAAAAACTTTTCTATCCGCACGAGTGGTAAAAAGTTCTTTTTCCAAGGGCCCATTTATCGCTTGAAATTTCGCCCAAAGGCGGTGTGATAGTCTCTCCGGTTAGAAACTTTTATATATCTCTCGTGGTAAACACTCGACGCGTTGCCACCACTGAGTTCAACCCCGCATCCCCTGTACCTCTTAACGCCATTCCCCTTCTTCCTTCCCCCGTCCTCCATTCCCAATTTCTCTTCTCACCTATCCCTTCGACGATACCGTTCATGTGATTTTTTTTCCACATTTCTTTTTTTCTACTATTTCTTCTATTATTATTTTCTTTTTCTTTTTTATTTCTATCTTTATCCTTTTCCTTTTTCTTTTCCTTTATCTTTTCCCTTTTCCTTTTAATAAATGGCAAAGCGAACAAATCGAGCATGACTTGGTGGTTTGAGCTTTGATATCGAATACTTTTTCTTCTTTGGTTTTTTTTTTCTTGTTTTTTTTTTTTTCTTTAATATCGCAACGATATATTATATCTGCGTATTATTATTATTAAAGTTACTATTAATATATATATATATATATATATATATATATGTATGTGTGTGTGTGTGAAAATTGAAACGTCGATTATCGAATTTATTGACAAATTTTTGTTGGAAATTTGGCTTAATTGATATTCAATCGCATTATGATTTAATCTATAATTATAATCGATTTCCCCGATGCATATAGGACGGACTATAATTAAGATCTTGAAAGATTTTTCATTTATGAAGATTAATGGAAGGGTTGATTAAAGTCTACTCGTCACCATATCCTTCTTATCTTTTATATAATTTAATATTCCTTTTTTTTTTTCGAGAGAGAGATACTGCTTAAAATAATTATACACGAATATCTCTAAATATATATATATATATATATAAAAAGGAATAAAAAATTTGGAAGAAATATATTATAAGAAATATAATCATCATAGGCCCCCCACGCACATGCATTGAACACATTGCATACACACATTGCATTCACATGCATTCACAGGCATAGAAACAAATTCGTACATAGCTATGTACGAAAGGAAAGCAAAGCATCCGAATATAAACTATGGTGGGTATTTATTTCGCGGCCCAAATCACGCGTTCGTTCGTCCTAATCGACGCATTAATAGCGCGTAGAAAACTTTCGACGTAGTGAAAAGCACCAGAAATACATTGTATTCTCTCTCTTTATCTTTCTCTATCTCTCTCTCTCTCTCTCTCTCTCTCTTACTCTATCATTCTCTTTCTCTTTTTCACTAACTCATTCTTTCTTTTTCGTATAAACGCGCACCAGTTTGCTCGCAAGTAATAGCGAAGTCGATTCACGGAATATAAGAAGGTGAAGCCTACTTTCTTCTTCCGAATTGTCTTTATGGTGTGAGAGAAGTAGGAGGAGGAGGAGAAGGAGGAGGGGCAGGAGGGGGACGAGGAGGAGGAGAGGGAGGGAGGTTAAAGAAGGTAGAGTAGGGACAGTAAAGTAAAGTAAAGTAAAGTAAAGTAAAGTAAGGTAAGGTATGGTAAGGTGAGGTGAACTGAAGAGGAGGAGGAGGAGGAGGAGGAGGAGAGGAAACGCGTGGAGGCAAAACGAGAATGGAAAGAATGGAAAGGAGAAGAAGGCCGTTCGCCGACACTGGTCAGCCAGTATACGCCAGTACATCGAACAGTACGACGATCTTATAATCGATAATCGATCCTAATCCTAATTCTTTATTCATTAATCGACGACAATTTTATATATTTATACGTATACGTGTGTGATCGATAAATAATTTCGTTCGTCGCATTGATTTGTTCGTTAGTCGCATTAATTCGTTCGTTCGTTCGTACGTATAAAAATTTACGAGATATATTTTCAATAGATATTACGTGAACAAATCAACGAGAATAATAATTTACGTGAGTCCAATTACGACGACTACGACTACGACGACACAAAGTTAACGATTTTACGCGATTATTTGTCGTAATTCTTCTTCTTTTTTTTTTTTTTCTTTCCCCTCTCCCCTTATATCTTTTCTATTTTTCTTTTTCTTTTTCTTTTTTTTCTTCTTTTTTTATTCCCTCTCTATCTTCTTTACTTTTGCCACCCTCTTTTTTTTTTCTTTTTCCTGTCTCTTTCTCTCTCTCTCTCTCCCTCTCTCTCTCTCTCTCTCTCTCTATATATATATATATATATTTATTTATTAATTCATTTGTTCATTTATTTATTTATTTATTTTCTTCGTCCTTTCCTTTTTTTTTTTTTAATCCTTTCAATCTATTTTTTTTTCTTTCTTCTCTCGTCGAAAAAAGAGAAAGAGAAAGAGAGAGAAAGAGAGAGGAAAAAAAAAGGAGCGTCTCCCCGCTACAACCCCTTTCTTACGTCCCTTTTCGTCAAAGCGGGAAAATCGTGATATTTGAATATTCCAAGTAAACTTTTCTTTCTTTCTTTCTTTCTTTCTTGCTCGCTCGCTTTCTTTTTCTTTTTCCCTTATTTTTTTTTTTTTGTTTTTCATTCTTTTTGATCTCACACTTCATCGCGTATTTCTTCCTTTCCGTTCGAGGCAAAGGAGTGTGAGTCTGTGTGTATCTGTGTGTGTGTGTGTGTATCTTTTTTTTCTTCTTTTTCTTCTTTTCCTTCTTCCCTCCCATTCCCTTTCTATCCCTTTCTACACCTTTCATATAACTATCGCTCGTTGGATTTTTTTTCCGAGTTTTATCATAGGTAAGTTTTTCTTTGTTTTATTTTTGTTTCTTTTTTCGTTTGTTTGTTTGTTTGTTTTTTCTTTTCTTTTTTTCTTTTTGTTTGCTTCTTTTTAATTTCAAAATTCAATCACTCACATTTACACTCATGCGTTTTTTCCTTTCTTTATCATCGACCACATATCATTTGCCATATAATATTTTAACTTACTAAATATGCGAGTTTTAAGAAAAGAAAATGAAAGAAGACGAAGAAAATAGAAAGAAAGAAAGAAAGAAAGAAAGAAAAGAAGAAGGGAAAAAAGATCAGATAATTAAGATATTGATCTCGTAAGAAGGGATCAAAAAGGGGATGAATTTCGGTACGACGATTTATCGAGAAATTTTTTTAGACGAATGACAAACATAATTTTCTTCGGATACTTGAATGGAAATTCGTGCTAAGAAAAAAAAGAAAAAAAAAACTATACGTGTGTGGATATCTATATGTGTGTGTGTGCGTG